TAAATATTCTCCAGGCTCCCATAACAGCTCCACATACACAGTGTCTGCCATAAATGCTGACCTGTGCTCGTTCAGTTCAGGAGTTAACACCCAGATTCTGGTGGTATGTGCTCAGGCCATGGCTTATGCTGTTACAGGGATTTGCCCACATGGGGGCAACTTCTGGGCCAAGAGGAAGTGGGCTCAGGGATGCCCATCCTGTGCCTGGCTTTCTGGTCTGCTGAGCTCCAGGCTCCTACTCATCTATGGGAGAGGCACTGGTGGCAACCCAACCCCCCCTTAACTGCTGGGTCTATTGATGGGGGAGTTCTGCACTTATCACCCCACTTTGTTCACTCAGTCAGCAGCTCAGAGATCCTCCCAGGAGCCTTGCCTCACTCTGTCACTGGTGAGACTGAGGGTGGTGAGTGTAGGCGCATGAGTGGGTCTGACTGGGTACATAGAAATGATCGGGTGTTGTTGGGTTAAGACTGCTGTGGACATTTGCACAAGTGCTGATGTGGCTGTGTGGTGAATATGTGGTATGCGAGTAACCACATCTGATGTAAGTGAGAAAACAGCAAGAGAGTATGAGTGTTAGGCAGGGTGTGTGTATGCCTATGTGCTCCGGACATGCAGGGTTTAGGGTGTATGTGTGTACGTGTATCCAAAGTGGTATTGTGCATCTGTGTCTGTGATGTGTGGGTGCATCCCCTTTGTGCACTGCACTCATGGCTGCCTGACGAGGTGAGGAAGTACTTTCTCCTAAAACCATGTCCTGAGTATAGATCTGTGTGTGTGTGTGTGTGTGTGTGTGTGTGTGTGTGTTGGCTCCTGTATATACCAGTGCCCTGTGGGTGTGCTAAGGAGCTGTCTTGGGCTCCTGCTAATGCTGTCTTCAGTAGTGACACTTTGGGTGTATTTGTTTGTCCTTCTGTTTGTCTGTGCCCTGCTGGCCCAGTACTTCTCCAGTAGCTCCAAGCAGGCAGGCAGGGTGTCGGCAGCCGGCTTGGGCTGCCCCTCTGTGTCCCCTGCTCCATAGGCTAATCTGGCCGTATGGTTGTCCATGATCGGGCTGGCACAGTACTACAAGGTGCTGGTGGATAACGGCTACGAGAACATTGATTTCATCACAGACATCACCTGGGAAGATCTGCAGGAGATCGGCATCACTAAACTGGGTGAGGCACCAGCCCTGGCCCAGCCCTTCCCTACCTCTAAGTTTATCTGACCTGTCCCCATGTCCCATCCAGGCCACCAAAAGAAGCTGATGCTGGCAGTGAGGAAGTTGGCAGAGCTCCAGAAGGCAGAATATGCCAAGTATGAAGGGGGACCCCTGCGTCGGAAGGCACCCCAGTCGCTTGAAATGATGGCCATTGAGTCGCCACCCCCACCTGAGCCTGCTCCAGCTGACTGCCAGTCCCCTAAGATGACCACCTTCCAGGACAGTGAGCTCAGTGGTGAGCTTCAGGCTGCCATGACCGGTCCAGCTGAAGGGGGCCCTGCTGAGAAGCCCTCCAACCACCTGCCACCCACTCCAAGGGCCACCATGCGGCAGGAGCCCAGCTTGGGTGGACGGGCTCGGCATATGAGTAGTTCTCAGGAGCTGCTAGGTGAAGGGCCCCCTGGGCCTGGCAGCCCCATGTCACGAAGCCAGGAATACCTGTTGGATGAGGGGCAGGTCCCTGGTACCCCACCTAAGGAGGTCCGGCCCAGCCGCCATGGCCACAGTGTCAAGAGGGCCAGTGTGCCCCCAGTGCCTGGCAAACCACGGCAAGTCCTTCCGCCCGGTGGCAGCCATTTCACACCCCCTCAGACACCCACCAAAGCCCGACCAGGATCCCCTCAAGCCCTCGCAGGACCTCATGGTTCAACCCCAGTCACAGCCAAGGTGAAGCCCACCCCACAGCTGCTGCCACCAACGGAGCGACCCATGTCACCTCGTTCCCTGCCACAGTCACCGACACACCGTGGCTTTGCCTATGTCCTACCCCAGCCTGTGGAAGGTGACACGGGGCCAGCTACTCCAGGGCCTGTGTCCCAAACCATGCCTACAGCTGTGCCCACACTGTGCCTGCCTCCTGAGGCTGAGGCAGAGCCTGGGCGGCCCAAGAAGCGTGCTCACAGCCTGAACCGCTATGCAGCATCTGACAGTGAACCAGAGCGGGATGAGCTGCTAGTGCCTGCTGCGGCAGGACCCTATGCCACAGTCCAGCGGCGTGTGGGCCGCAGCCACTCTGTGAGGGCACCTGCTGGCACTGACAAGAACGTAAACCGGAGTCAGTCCTTTGCTGTTCGGCCCCGTAAGAAGGGGCCCCCCCCACCTCCACCCAAGCGTTCCAGCTCAGCTATGGCCAGTGCTAACCTAGCTGATGAACCAGCTCCAGATATTGAAACTGAAGACGACCAGCTGGGGGTCCGGGCACAGCGCCGGCGGGCTAGTGACCTGGCTGGTAGTGTGGACACAGGCAGTGCTGGCAGTGTGAAGAGCATTGCTGCCATGCTCGAGCTGTCTTCCATTGGGGGTGGTGGCCGGGCTGCCCGTAGACCTCCTGAGGGCCACCCCACACCTCATCCTGCCAGTCCAGAGCCAGGCCGGGTGGCCACAGTGCTAGCCTCAGTGAAGCACAAGGAGGCCATTGGGCCTGATGGTGAGGTAGTGAACCGGCGCCGCACACTCAGTGGGCCTGTCACTGGACTTCTGGCCACTGCCCGTCAGGGGACCGGGGAGCCAACAGATCAAGGCCACTTTGTGGAAGATGGTAAGGCCCGGCAGCGGCCTCAGGGTCCAGGCAAGGGAGAGGCAAGTGTTGATGGTCCACCCCTGGCCAGGGTGGAGGCCAGTGCCACACTAAAGAGGCGTATCCGGGCCAAGCAGAACCAGCAGGAAAATGTCAAGTTCATCCTGACAGAGTCTGACACAGTCAAACGTCGCCCTAAAGCCAAGGAGCGGGAGGCTGGTTCTGAGCCCATCCCATCACTGTCTGTGTATCAGAATGGCACAGCCACAGTTCGCCGACGCCCAGCCTCAGAGCAAGCTGGACCCCCAGAGCTGCCTCCCCCACCTCCACCTGCTGAACCCCCACCCACCGACCTGGTACACCTGCCCCCACTGCCCTTGCCAGAAGGTGATGCCCGAAAGCCAGCAAAGCCGCCTGTCTCCCCTAAGCCTGTTCTGACTCAGCCTGTGCCCAAGATACAGGGCTCACCCACGCCCTCCTCCAAGAAGGTGCCCCTGCCTGGTCCTGGCAGCCCAGGTAGGTGCAGGGAGCCTGCTAGAGTATTGCAAGATCATCCCATAGTTTGGGGGTTTACCTGTTTGGACTTGATGAGGCCCAGGTGAGTTAGGGTGGGAGTGGCCGCACTCCTTCCTCCATCCATCTACCCTGTGACTTTGGTAGTCTAAGACTAGAAGCACCCAGGTGCAGGAGGGGGTAGGGGTGGATAGGATGGAGGTGCAAAGGCCCTGAGGGATTCAAACAACTGGAGGCCCACGTGGCTCCAGCAGGTCACACATAGGGAGGAGGGAGTTGGGAAGCAGTGATAAAAACGTTGGGGGGCTGGGGAGATGGCTCAGTAGAATAAACCCTTCCCTGGCAAGCGCAAGGGCCTGAGTTCAATCCCCGGCTCCACAAAAAAAAAAAAAAAAAAAAAAAAAAAGAACGTTTGCCCTGGGGAGATAGGGTAAGGGTGGTTTCTGCTTCCCGGTGTGCTTGCACTGGCTGGGATGCCAATGCAACCCTCTCCACAGAAGTGAAGCGCGCGCATGGCACGCCGCCTCCCGTGTCACCCAAGCCACCACCGCCCCCCACGGCACCCAAACCGGCCAAGGCCACGGCAGGGCTTCAGTCAGGTAGTGCCACCCCGTCACCCACCCCGTCGCCAGCGCGCCAGCCATCTGCTGCCCTTGCCAAGCCGGCCAGCACACCGCCTTCACTGAGCGCTAGCCCCGCCAAGCCTCCGTCCCCCGGTGCGACTGCGCTGCACGTGCCTGCCAAGCCCCCGCGTGCTGCTGCTGCTGTCGCCGCCTCAGGGGCTCCCAGCGTGCTCGACGGAGCTTCACCAGGGGATAGCGCGCGGCAGAAGCTGGAGGAGACCAGCGCTTGCCTGGCAGCTGCGCTACAAGCAGTGGAGGAGAAGATCCGGCAGGAGGACGGACAGGGCTCATGGTAGGTGGGGGCATGCTGGGACTGGGAGATCTGACTTAGCTCGGGATGGGTGGAGCCTTGGGCGAGACCATGGGTTGGCAGAGTGACCTCTCCCAGGTAGGCGGGGCACTGGTCTAAGGGGCGGGTCCTGTGCAAGTCGGGCCTCATTCACACGGGGCCTGTCCCCAGCCCCTCTGTGGCAACGGAGAAGAGCACTGGCAGCATCCTAGACGACATCGGCAGCATGTTTGATGACCTGGCTGATCAGCTGGACGCCATGCTGGAGTGAGTGGCTGTCCTTGCCTGACTTGCCGCCCCCCGGGCTCCAGCCTGCACACTGACTTTACCTCAGGACGGAACCCTCCGGGCGCGGGCGGGCAGGGCTGCCCAATTCTCGGCACAAGCACAACTCTTGTCCTGGCCCAGACCGGTGCCCGCCTGCAGGACCGCCTGGCCAGGGGCTCCAAGGGCTCTGGGTGGACACGCTGCCCTGTGGTGCCCAGCCCTGTCTGCTGCTCCCTGTGCAATAACTGCTGGGCCATAGCCGCCGCCTCGGAGTGGAGAGCTGCCCTCCCCCTGATCCGTGTAGGTGAGGTGGGGCAGCTGCTGTCACCACCTTCCCAATCTGTGGCAGAGCACAGGCCTATGCCCAGCACAGAACTGCCCATTGGGGAACCTCTGCCAGCCGTTCTGGCGCAGCACAAGGGACAGGGGGCTAAGGTTGGCTACCCCACTGCACCCCAGAATATAAGCTATCAAAAGTATTAATTTATTGGGAATGAGCTAAGGCAGATTTCCCCAGAGAAACAAAAAGGTATAACTTTAACAAATATATATTTAAAGAAATATTATTGATTATATTAGAAAACCATTTACCAACTGAAAGGACACTGGTGCCCAGCTTGAGACTAAAGCTGTCAGGGACCCAGGCCATCTATCTGTGTGTCCTTCCCTCCCTGTATCTATGAGTGGCCATGTCCTGGCCATGAACACACCTAGGAGACTGTCTGGGGAGGGGCTCTGCCCAGCGTCTCTCCCCTGCTCCTCTCTTGTAACTTCTCTGCGTTGGAAGAACTTGAAGGATGTGCCTTGCTGGCTGACAGGCTGTGTCCTCTGTGCCCGATTGTGAGAGGGCTTTCTCCTCTTGGGCTGGCCATGCCCCGGGGTTGCTGATAGGAGTGCCCTGGGGCAGCATGTGATCTTGGGCATGTCAGCCAAGTGACAGCAGTATGGGTGCAGGGGTATGCATGCCAGACTGTGGGTAGATATGTGAGGGAGTCTGACTCCCTCCCCAGGGCCTCATTCAGTTCCCATGGATGCTTCTGCTCATGGTCCAGGCTGTGTTATGTGGTCATTTTTCGTCCTTTCTCTCTTCCTCTTTCCTTCTTCTAAAAAGTACTGACTGGTCTCCTCTATTGTGTTTGCTGATCCACAAGTGTTGGGCACAACTTTGACATTTCTTAAAAAAAAAACACAAAACTTTAAAACCGCTGAAAACCAGCAATTGTGCGGCAGGCTGATGGAGGGGGCCAGGGAGGGTGACATCTGGGCATGGGTCCTCCTCCAACTGTCACACCTGGGGCTTCCTGGTGAGTTGACCAGCCAGCCATCAGTGGGCAGCCCAGGCTGGGGCTCTGGCAGGTGGGGATGGGGGATCGTCTGGGCAGGGAACTGATGTCAGCTGGCTGTCAATAAACAGCAGAAATCAGAGCTGCTTGGTTCACTCTTTGAGGCTGTGGTGTTGGGGAAATGGGACTAGAAGCCAGGAGCCAAGTTCATTGCACCTCCTCCTGCATGCAAGGAGGGACCCAACTTCCCTCACATGCTGCTGGTGCTTGTGCACATTCCCAGGGCCACACAGAGACCCCTGGCCCCAGGATCTCTCCCTACTCAACAGCCACAGTCTGTGCCACTTTTATTTCAATCAGGAAGTAATCAAATCTATATACAGTCTAAAAACAGTAGAAAAGGTGAGTAAAAAGGCTCTTAGTTCATCTGGAGTATAGATGAAGGGTGGGTTGTAGTGTCGTACCTGGCACCCAGAGGGTCCTGGGCTTTGCCCTGGCAAGAGTGAAGGCAGGGCCAAGTAGAGGGAGGCTTGCTGGAGTGTGGAGTAGGGTGGACACTGCTTGGCCACTTGAGCACATTTACTTGCCCCCACATGGCAGGCAAAAGCCCAAAGACCACTTTGTGTGGCCAGCCTGGCTCGGGCAAGGTCCAGAGAGAGTTGAGGCCTGGCTTGGATTCTGTCAGCATGTCCAAACCTGCAAGGAAAGGGGCTCTGTTTCAGGTAACCCTGCGTTCCAAGTATACCTGGTGATAACATTTGCCTTCCACTGCCACTTGCTTGATGCTTCTAGCTCCTTGTCCCCAGCCCCCTGCTCCATCTGTCAGCTTCTTTAGGTGGCTTGGACCATAGGCACTGACCTTTACGGTACTATCCACAGCCCCTGAAAAGAGCCGGCCCCGGGACACAGCCAGAGCAGTCACACTGCCCTGGTGGCGGAGTAAGGTCTGTGTGCAGATCATGTTGTCCATACTCCAGACCTGGGGGGTACACAGGATGTGAGGGTATGCATAGGCCCAGCCACCCTCCTTCTGGGTCTCCTGCTGCTGCAGCTGGGCTAGTACATACGCGGAGGGACCGATCATAAGATGCACTGAAGACTTTGGTCTGGTCTGGTGTTGAGATGACTGCCAGGGCGTACACAGTGCCTACATGGCCTGTGAGGGTCCGCACTTGCTCCTTGGACTCGATGTCCCACACCTGAGAGGGGGCAGGCACAGGCCAGTCAGAGACCCAAAATGAGGGAACCCAGTCAGTCCTTCCCTTAGGCATCTAGCCCTTACATGGATGAGGTTCTCATAGGTGCCACAGACAATGTGGTGATTTGTCACAGCAATAGAGTAGACACTGCCACCAGACGTCTGCAGGACGTGGATACAATCAAGGGTCCGGATGTCCCAGATCTATGGGCAAATGTGGTCACTTGGTCACAAGGCCAGGTAAATACCAGGAGGCAGCTCACCCATGCAGGAGTCCATGCATCATGAGTACAGAGCAGGGAAAACCTTCAAGGGCCATCTGAGAAGTGAGGAAGAGGGTGTGGCCCTGCCAATAGGGTGGTTCTGTGTACCTTGATTGTCTGGTAGGAGCCACTGTAAAGGTAGCTCTGGGCTGCTACCAGGGCCCGCACCCAGTGGTTGAGGCCTGTGAGCTCCTTCTTCAACTTAAGCTCAGTACCCACGATGTCCCAGACCTGTGGGAATGGCTATGAGCAGGGGCTGAGTGGGCACCCAGTGGCCCAAATGTGTGTGCATGCCCTCTGCCTGTACCTTGATGGCCTTTAGGGAGCCACTGAAGAGCATGTTGTGAGAGGATACTAGGGTGCACACAGGGTTGTCATGGGCCCGGATGGTGTTCACCTTCTGCAGGTTCTGGATGTCCCATACCTGAAAGGATGAATAGCAAGCCTCAGGGGGCCAGGTAGGGTGACGTTATGTGGAGTTTACAGCACTAAGAAAAAAAACGCTTGCTGGGTCACCTCCCACCCCTGCCTGTCTGTGGGCCCTACTCACGATGATGGTACAATCTGCAGAACCGCTGTATAGTTTGCACCTAGGAAAGCAAAGTCAGTGTGTGAGGGCAGGGGAAACCGTGATCCTGGCTGACATAATCCTGTCCAGGGCACAGGAACCAACAGCTTGGCCCAATATCAGGACAAATGCTGCTTCCCTGAGCCAGGCTTTATTTGTGAGGGAACTTTGGAAGTGGTGGCCTAGCTTCTGATCCCTGCCTAGACAGCTTTTGACCACTGGGAAGGAGTCCCTGCCCTTAACACTAAGTCTCAGAGCTGGCTGCTGCCACCCATGCTGCTGCTTCCATTAAGTGAGCAGCCTTTCCTTTCCACACACGAATGCTTATATACAGTCTCATGACATGAACCAAAAGGGCAGATCTAGGGAAGAGGACATCCAGAGCAAGGAAGTAGCTGGGGGAGCTGTTCCATGGATACAGCTACAATGGTGACACTATGCTACACCCGTCTCAGCCTTCCTAAAGAGTTCCGCTGCCAGCCTTTGTGAACACACAATTCTGGAAATGGAGCCTACAAGGGCCTACACAATACCATACAGAAGACCAGCACTGCTCAGGGTTCAGGGACCTCTACAGGGTGGGAGTCAGATGTGCAGCTACACAGGCTCAAGTTCATGGCTTATGACCCAGGGAGTAGCAGCACATTTTCTCTTGTCTCCAAGGTCAGGAGGAACAGTGTCCAGACTCACCCCTGGATGCAGAGAGCCAGCACGATACCATCATGGCCTTCTAGTGTTTTCTGGCACTTATAGGTGGTACACGTATCCCACACCTGCAAAAACCAGAGTCAAAGTAGGTTCCAAAAGGGTCATCTCAGTGCCAATACCAAGATAAGGATGGCAGCCAGCCAAGAGAAAGAGCTCCATCTCAGAGGGCCCAAGTTGGCAAGGCTGGCATGCAATGTCCAACCCAGCCTGGCCAGGCTAGAGACCATGAGGCAGGATCCTACCCACCTTGATAGTCTTGTCAGAAGAGCCACTAAAGAGTAGGTCACCCATGGAGTAGACACAGAGACACCAGACAGGACCCTGGTGGCCCACAAAAGTCCCTTTGCACTTGAAGATCTGCTGAGGGTCATAGGCTGCAGAGTGAAGAACACAGTGAGGGACCCAGTAGGGCCCTATGGACAGCAGGTGAGAGTAGCAGTGGTCTATACTCACATCCTAGGATGCCCATGTTCAACCGTGCATTGATATGGGACAGCTCATCCTGCAAGGCCAAGAGCAGTGAAGGGCAAATGGGTGAAGCTGCCATAGCTACCAGTACAGCCACAGAGCTCAGAGGCCTGACACTGGCCAGGGGTAGCAGCAGCTCTCTCCAGAACTCAGGCCCCTAACCCCAACTAACGGGAGCAGAAGTCAGTGGGGGAGGGCTGCCCATTGGGGCCCAATCCCGTCCTTCTGTATCTCAATCACCCTTAGTCCCGAAGCCTGCTCACATTCAGCATGGATGCATCCCTCCGGAACTCCATGAGGTCCTCACTGAGTTTGCTCTGGTTCTCATCCAGGACATCTGAGCAGCAGGAGAGGAGGCGTCACTGGGGTCAGACACAATGGCTGTACCCTGTGCCCTCCAGGCTGGTCCTCACCAAACTTGAGCTCAAGGCTCTTCTCTAGTTGGTCGATCTTCTCTGAGAGCTTGCCCAGCATAGAGCGCAGGAAGGCAATCTCCTGGTCCTTTTGTGCCAGTGCTACATGCATCTCGTGGAAGCGGTCATCTGTCTGCTGCAGGAATTCCTTCAGGCCCTCAAAGCGGCATGTCTCCAGATGTGTCTCATATGTGTCCTGGTTCCCAATGAATGTACACCTGGGGGGCGGGGACAGAACATCTGCCCACCTGCCTGCCCAGGAGGACCCTTCTTATCTTCGTAAACCCAAGAAGCCCTTGAAAATCTTCCACTGCCAGGCCTTCCACCCCAGATCCAGCTGCTCTGCCACTTGCCAGACCTCTGCCACCCAGTAGTCAGCAGCTATTTTATTAGAAAAATTCAATCATGAGTCCTTTAAGTACTCTACCCTGTGGGAATAAAACCAACTCACTGGCCTCCCTGCCCTGAAAACCAAGTTCTTCCTCTCTGCTCTCAACTGTTTACTCAAGCTGCTGTGCTAAGCCAGACCCTGGCACATCCTTGTGGACACCTTCCCCAATATCCCAGCTCCCCATCCTGTCCAGTCCCTTTTCTATAATGCCATGGGGCTTGAATCTCTTGGGCCCCTAGATCTCGGTTGTGCTGATGGGGACAGACCTGACTCCTGGCTCAGGTTCATCCCTCCAGCCCCAGCACTCAGGTTCTCTCACCCAGCAATGCCGAGGAGAACTTGGGATCCCACCCACCCTCACCCACTCACCCGTACTTGGAGTGGGGACACTTGATATGCTCGCATTCCTTGAGGTGGGCCTCCAGGTTCATCTTGAGGAGGGGAGGACAGTTGGGGTTGTTGGGGCAGCGCACTGGCCTGTAGTCACAGCTGCCTTCGTGATCCCTGTGTGAAGATGGGACTCAAGGTCTGAACCAAGGCCCAATAGTGAAGTCAGGAACTGGGGACGGAGGGTACTTACTTTCGGGCACTGAGCTTTATGGTGAAGGGGCACCCCCGGGGGTCCACCTCAAAGACGCTGGGCTTCCCCACACCTGCCACTCGACAGCCGTGCCTGCAGTGGATGAAGAGCTCCCCAATCTGCTCAGCCACCGCAATGTTGTTCACCACCACTGTCAGCTTGGCGTTGTCCACGGGACATTTCTCTGGGGAGGGGCAGCATGCTAATCCTACAGCCTGCCCCATCACCCCCTCCCTGGTTGCAAGAGCCTTCTAGGTGCCTGATTCACCCAGCCATCTGCCCCACTGAGGCACAGGACTATGTGCATAGGTGGGTCAGCCAGGGATGACATGGTCATTGAAGTCTCTCAGGTAAGCTGGAAAGGTACTGGGAAAGGTCAAAGGGACAGAGGACAGGGTGGGAAAAGACAGTCAAGTGAGCCTAACAGTGGCATGGAGCCAGCCAGCCAGAGGCAGGAGTAGCTGGGGACAGCATCTTTTAACAAAGTGTAGGTACCAACACTGGGAGGTCCCATCCCATGCCTGTCATGGGGGCGGGGTGTCTCTCAGTAGGGAGACAATGGGAGTTCTGGCTCTTAGTGCCCACTGTGGAGGCTCTGAGCTTGGTCTGAGTGCCTGTAGTCCTGGCCCAGGCCCACAGGAGGCCAAGGGTGCTGGACATTGTACAGGCTATACACCTTCTCCAACCTCCTGAATCACAATATGGAGCAGAGGCCTGGAACCACACCTGAGAACCCCACAAGACCAAGGGTTAGGAGCCTGGGGTTAGGAATGAGCCATGGCCTCTGCTTAGCAGCCTGGGACCCAAGTAAGACTGAGACCACCCACTCCCACTCTATAACAAGGTAGCCAGGCCCAGATGGGAAGGAGGGACCTACCTGACTTCAAGGCACATCTTCTACAGAACGTGTGCTATGGGGACAAAGGACAGGCATAGGGTATAGGCACAGTCTTTACTTCATGGTTTTTTTTTTTTTTTTCTTTTCCCCATGTATTTGGTACAGGGTCTCACTACACAGCCCTCATAGTGATCCTCCTGTTTTCAGCCTCCCCAGCACTGGGATTACAGGTCTTGGTGGCCAGCTCAGCGTGCTCAGGGGTGGGGCTGGCACAGCATGTGGTGCCAAGGGTTCAACCCTGGTCCCTACGCTTGCCTAAGCAGGTGCTCAGCTTTCTTGCCAGCCCCTTTACCCCATGTTAAGTCCAGGGGTGGCTCAGGGTTTATCACCACCCTATGCCCAACGCAGAAGGCACCAGCTGGGTAGCCAGACCAGCTACATGACAAAGGCCCAGGCCTACAGGAAGTGGGCCGTAGCCCACTGCCCCAAGTTAGGGTTAGCAGCCTAGGTGTGGGAAGGAGCCCCATAGGGTGGCCTCACCCCACATGTGGTGATCACAGGGTCCTTGAACACGCTACAGCAGAGTTGGCAGCACAGCTTCACTGAGGGCTGCTCAGAAAACACCAGTGGCTCCTGAAATAAGCAGAGCAAAGGAAGGTAGAAGGGAAGAGGGTCAGGATGCAGACATAACCAGGGAGGCCACTTGGCCCATCCCAACCAGTTGAGACCTATCCTGGGAGGACACTGAGGCTGGGGGAGGGGGCTGGTTTTAGAGGGTCAAGGAGAGGAAGCAGGGGCTCTGGCCAGAGGCAGAGCTCAAGCAGAAAGGACTGTGTCCAGCACTGTGGGCAGCGGGTCCACTACAGCCTTCCCCTGCTCTCATTTGCCCTTCCTGCTAGATTTAAGAGTACAAAGAGCCTCCTAAGATGGGGGACAGGGGTGTGTCTAGGAGACCTGGCCTGGTCCCTCAGTCCCAACATGTACCAGGGAGGACCAGAAGCCCTGACCAGAAGCCTGAGAAGATCCCACAGCACTGCAGCACAATGACAACCCTGGAAGACCCTCCACAGCCAGCTGCCCACACCTACCGGCTCCTCTTCCTCTTCAGGCAGTGAGAACGTGGAGCGCAAGGACATGCTGGACTCGGAGTGCAGGGAGCGCACAGAGATGGCTGAGTCGGAACGGCGGGGAGTGTTGATAGGGGGCTGCACAGAGACAGGCAACCCATCAGAAGGCTCTGTGCAGTGAAAAGACTGGAGGGTGCAGCAGCCCGGGGCCACCTTGCCCCAGTAGGTACTCTCAAGGACCACAGAGGCTGTGGCCGTCTGTCTGCCTGGGCCAGCCTGGGCCCTGGTGCTGGGCTGCTTGCTCTCCACTGCCAACTTTCTTTGTGTAAATGGAGAGACTTCCTGCTATTCAATTCTACGAGGACACACTCAGGCTGCTTCCTGCTTCCTGTGAGGGAACATGGCCCATAGAGGGGGTGCCTCTACCAGCCAATCCTGGAGTACCCATGGGCTCCTGGATTGCTAGATGGATGAGAATGGAAAGCAGACCCAGGAGAGGCTGCTGGGTTCCTGATGCCTGCCTGGCATCACCATCCAGGGGACACTGGGCACAGGCTGGAGGCTCATAGAGGAAACAGGGACAGCATTCCCACTGAGCCCTAGCTTAAGCATCTGAGTACGAAGGTGAGGGCACGGGTGCCTGCCTCTTCCTGAGCCACAGTGACGGCTTGGAGGACAGTAGGGGGAAAAGGCAGGCACTCTACTTTCCTGCCTTCTGACCCTAGAAACCTCCAAGTTTCTTTTTTTTTTTTTTTTTTCTCCAAGTTTCTAAGATCTGTTAATTCCCATAGCTTCTTCCTTCAGCTTCTGATAAAACTGGCAGCCACACTCTTAAGCCACAACCTTTGAAAAGCAGCATGTAAACACTTTACCCATCCCCCATGCCACAAACAACTTGAGGGAAAGAGCCCAGTCCTTGCCAGCCCAGCTGTGAAGCTCTATAGTGCAGCGGAATAACCAGTCCCAAGAATGGGTATCCCTGAGCAGGTAGCAGAGAAAAGGAACACGTACTTTCCATACCAGGATGGTGCCCAATCTCCTGCCACAGTGCCCCATGTGGGCTGTTCACATGTAAATACCACATGAGGGTCAGAGGAGAAAGTAAGGGGCAGGGAGTCAAATATCCCCATGGCTGGTGATGAAAACAAGAGGGGCAAGAACAAGACCAGACAGGAGCAAGAGGGGAGCTTCACTCACATCAGCCCACCAACCAGGAGCTTCTCCTGGGATCACACTGTCCTAAACCAAGGGCTAAGGGAGAAGAAGGTCCAGCTGCCTCACATGGAACAGTCGGAGGTCTTGGGTAGAGATGAGGCAGGCAGAGGTTAGAGGGAAGGACACTGGTCTACCTAATTCCCTGGAACCACATGGACAACCCATGTGTTCGCTCACTTAACTAAAAATGGGTTATCTTTCTATTAAAAAAAGAAAAGAAAAGAAAAGAAAAGAAAGGTCTGGCCTCTGAGGATAAGGGGTTGCCTCAGTCCTGAGGAAGCCTGCCTCTTCAGGAGAACCAGCTAAAGTCACCAGTAGGCTGCCATGCCCAGCTCACCAGGTAAAGCGAGTGCGAGCACAAAGGTGTCGTCTGTCCAGTTTCCCTGCCTCTCAGCTCATCTGCCCCTCTGCACCCCAGGGCTTAGTCCTACCAGGGTCAGCCCCTAGCTCCGAACACCAGCAACTCCACTGCCAGAGAATGGCCACCAGGAGCCTATTCACGGGACTCAGGCACCAACAGCCAACCAGCAGCCCAGAACCCTTCCTTTCTCTCACAACCAGAAGCAAGATGTTCTCTAGCTCTTCCCAGGACTTAGCAGAGGCTCCTAAGCCCCACTGCCCTACTGACACCACAAACTTGGGCCCACCGCTGTGTTCCTATCTCCTAGTCAGGACTCCCTCTTCAACCTCCTGCACTCCCACTTACTCTCTCCTCAGTAGCAAAGGAAACTTTTAAAACATGATTTTTACCAAAATCAAATGTACCTTGTTCTGATCTTCAGATATACCTTCTAACGTAGCTCTGCAATCTGGTTGCCTGCTGCCTCCATTACCAGGCCCAGGGGCCTCCTAGGAGACTCACGGTCTCACTACAGGGGCTCAAGACTGTGCCCTCGTCCCTTAGCCTGGAATCAGTTCTTTGCCACTGGCCTATAGTCAGCATCCCCTGGGCCTGGTCTACAGGACAGAGGGCAAAGGGGAAGCCAAAGCCTACCATGCTGTCCTCCTCATCCCTTGGGGAGTAGGCAAGGGTGCTGGAGGAGGAAGGTGTCCTTCGGTGCTGTTTGTACGTGCTGCTTCCATCAGCTGTGAGAGAAGAGAGAAGGGGAAGGCCAGGCACCATGAGCACAGGTTGTACAGAGGACTGGCCCAAACTGTGGGGCAACAAGCCGCGTGGTGTGTAGACAGAGGGCCCAGCTGGTAGAGCCTGTGTAGTATGTGGGGCCCTGTGGCTATCTCTAGCTCTTGACCCTCTGTCTCTGGCAGGGATGGGAAGGCAGTGCTTGGGTTCGGTCCCAAGGTGAAGCTAGTGCCAGGAGTGTGGTTGAGAGGTTCAGCCTCCAACTGGATAGTCCTGGGCCCCTACCCTGACTACTCCAGGAGATGGGGCTGCTGCTGCTTTTTTCTGTACTAGAGAGCCTTAACATTGAGCTATATCCACAGCCTTTAATGTTTATTTTATTTATTTTTAAGACAGGGCTTCACTAAGTTGCTCAGGCTGGGCTTGAATTTACAATCCTCCTGCCCCAGCCTCCCAGAGTGCTGGGATTTTAGGTATGTACCAATGTACCACCATTCTTGGCTCAGGAGGGGCTTTTGAGCTCTACACGTCCAGCAACCAACCCTGGCCTGGGGCACTCTGTACATAGCTTAGGTGCACAAACAATAGCAAATGAAATGATGACACCTGAGTGAAACCACATCTTGCGTGACCTTCAGGGTAACTTCCAAGTAAGTTCACTGACAGTCCATGGGCTCATGGTTCTCAGCTGGTTCATGGCATGCCCAGGACCACATCTTGTTGGTCTAGTCTTCTTGCCTCATTCCCTGACACAGCCAGAACCACCAACAGTTCACAGCCTTCCTCCAAGGAAGATGCTGAGGTGCTCTCCCTTCTCTTCCCCATACTACCCCTCGTCAACCTGGCCAGAGAGCACGGCAGCCCTGTCATTTCCATGTGGGATCCAGACAGGCCCACATCACTGGTACTATAAGTAACCGCTTTGGGGACAGGAGACTCACCCCTTCAGCCAAATGCCCCAGGGTAAGGCCACCAGGCCCAGCCAGGTCCAGCATCAAAACAATTAGACCCAAAGGCCTGAGCTCAAGATCAGGGCTTCAACTGCCTGCCCTCTCACTGGGCCTTAGTTTCCCTATCTGTATAAGAGGGGCCAGATGAGGCATCATTGGTGCTTTGCTACTCAGCTTTCAACATTAGTGACAGGTGTCACATGGCCTATAAAAGTAGATGCATGAAGCCGGGCATAGTGGCTTTCACCTGTAATCCCAGAATTCAGGAGGCCAGAGGATCTCCAGGAGTTTGAGGCAAGCCTGAGCTACATAGTGAGTTCAAGGCCAGCCCCTGAAATACTGTATGTGATGAGACCCTGTCTCAAAACAAATAACAACAAAAAAGTCTCTTCTGTGGGAAGGGCGCCAACTTTGGATGATTTTTTTTCCTCAGAAAAAGCCACATAAGGTCAGGCTGCACATGCAGCAAAAGGAGCTGGTATGAGTGGGTGTATCTGGTGGCAGGGAACCTTTGGCTAGATTTAAACAGAAGAAACCATATCAAGGCAATTAAAAAGCCAGTTAAGGCTGGGGAAATAGCTCAGTGGCATAAGTGCCTGCCTGGCAAATTCAAATTCCCAAGTTCAATCCCTGGGTACAGGGTGGGTGGGGGTGGGAGCCAGTTAAAAGCAGGTGAACTCCTGCAGTGGCCCTGTGCCTCCAGGAGGAGTACAGTACGGTCTACCATTTTCTCCAAACTTCTAGACAACAGTGGAAGGCTGAGGCCTAGTACTACAACTGAGAGAAGATACCACAACCTCTCAGGGGTTAGGAGCCTAGGGTTGGGAATGAGCTATGGGTCACTATGACAAGGGATAAATATGGCTGCGGTGCCAGGAAAGTCAGTACAGTCCTTGATGAAGAGGCGCTAGGCTGGGTATCAGGAGGAGGTGATAGGATGATGCCAGGACACTGGGGAAAGACAGCAGCAGGGGCTAAGGCACCACAGTGGCATGACTTGGCTCCTGTCCAGCAGGGGACACTTCAGAACTGGACACAGCAAGGAAGAGGTCAGAGCCAACTACCCATTCTCTAACAGCAGAAGTGAGCATCCACCACACCAGTAAGTGTCTCCTAGGGCAGGGGGCCCAGCTTCTTCCCACGCACAGGCTCACTGGCTCACCTTTGGTGATGGTGGTGACAGCAGAAAAGGCGGGCCCGAAGGTCGTTTCCATTCTGGTCTAAGAGAGAACATGGACACGCTAACATGCTTTCCCATGGCCCAGCCATACGCATGCACTGCAGGGACCCACCAACAGCACATATACACCCACCCTAAACCCCTTAGGTAGGTACGGGACTGCTCTGGAAGTTCCACAGTTTCAAGTTACCAGAGCACGCTGGGGCAGGAGTGTACAAAGAGGGTAGCCCCTTACCCCGGTGCTGACGTCTGGGGAAGGAAGGTTGGTGGGCCCCCCAGAGAAGCGGTTGTAGCGGGTGCTCTTGCCTGAGCTCATGCTCTAGAGAGGCATGCGGGGTCCTTGGGCAGCATCCCCTGCAGATGGGACATGAATGGGGGGCTTGACAGGCAGCACCATGCCCTGGCTGGTCCACTGCAGGGCTCACGGTGGCCTTTTCCTATCCCCACTTGGTGGGATAGGAGAAAGCCTAATTTGGTGTGCCCACAGTAGGCAAGAGTCCTCCTTCCTGCCCAGGTCTGCACAAGTCCCAGGATCGGGCAGGTGGAGCCACGAGGGCAGCCAGCCCTCAGCTTCACCATCCCTCTAGGCTAAGCCCTGAAGAGGCCACCCAGCTCTCTACCCCAGAGGTGGGGAAGACTCCCACCTGTGCTGTCTGCTCTTCTGGGTTGTGAATCATAGCTGGTCACTTTCAGGCCTGCCCCTCTGCAGGCCAAATGTCCCTGAAGCCAAGGTTGGGCCTCTGCAGGCATCTCTACTTGCTCACTGGACCTGTTTCAGATATGGTACATATCGGGACAGGACCCTGTCATGCAGGGACTACCCAGGGTAAGACAAATGTTTCAAGCTACAGAATGTACTGTTATGACCTGGTCAGACTCAGTCTATAAGATGGCAGGGCACTGGTTACACCTTAAAGAGAACCCATGGGTTAAAGTACTGGGAGCCCAACTTCTAAGCATAGTCACACAAAAAAATTCATAGGAAAGAGTGGAGCCCCAACTTTTGACTCTATGCAGGTCACTAGTGCCTCAAACAGTACAGCTCAGGGGCTCAAGGACTGGAAGATATGGGAAGCACACAGGGGTCACAAACAATCTCCACCCTCCCCCAAAGAAAGGCTCTGTGTTGGGGCAGGGGGACTGTGCCCTTTGGCAGGCCAGGCCAGGGGCACCTGCAGGAAAAGGAAAAATAAAGAGAAAGGGAGGCTGGTCACACTCAGGACAGGTTCCAGGAATGGAGCTGTCCACTGTTAAGACAATCACTTTCTGCCCTGCTGCACAGCACACAGCCCCTCTGAGTTGGTGTCCCCAATCTCAAAAACCAGCAGTTTGCAAGCTACCAGGGTGGGACTGACTGAGATCGCTCATCCTGCCTTCCCACATATGATCGATTTCCAGCTTTGGCAGCTCCCAACAGTCATAGTTACAAAGGAGCTCTCCATGGGAAGGCAGGCCACATACACACCATGACTCCTGCCATTAGGTCTCTGTGTACCATTCCACTAGCAGGCGACTGCAGCACCCAGTAATATGCATTCCAAGTTCCCTACACAAGGATGGAACCTCAGAACCAGTTTTCTCCTGGAGAGGAGACTGGTAGTAGAGTGCCTAGCCCAGTGGCCTATACCAAGCCTCTGGAGGATGGGCAAAGAACAGGAGAGGAACAAGCTCCAGGAAAGTCTGGCTTGGTTACCTGTTACGGCCCCACTCTGCACCAAGAAGTGGGCATGCCTGTTGTGGCCCAGCCCTGCAGAACACAGCATGGAGACAGCCTAGCTGCTTCTGGCATCTTCTCCAACAGGCCCTTGATAGTGTATATCCTAGCATATACACTCTAGGATAGCACTGTCACCCACTACCATTGCCACAAAGTAAGTCTTGGTCCACTGAGTAGGCCTCCCCTCAGCCCGCAAGGAGGGGCTGGCTTCTACTCTGTTCACCATCTCTGTTAACTGCTTGTCTTTTTCTCCTTACAATGACCACACTCCACTTGCCTCCACAACTGCCATCTGCAGTGCTACCCACCTGCTATGGGGTCTACTCAGCCTTCAGGGCTCAGGCCTCAAACAACCATCCTGCAGATTGGGGATGGTTCTTTTTTAATTTTTTGTTTGTTTGTTTGTACCGGGGACTGAACTCAGAACCTTGCACTTGCCAGGAAGGCAGTTATGCCACTGAGCTATCTCCCTGGCCCCTGGGGATGGTTCTTGAGCCCTGCAGGCCAGAACTGTTTGTCACTTGGCTCCTGGTACTAAGCACCCTTAGGTCTAGGTGGTTGGGTGGGATCCCAAGAGCTTACCCAAGACTTTCTTCTCTCAGCTCCAGGCCCCTGCCACACTCAGGCTCCTGCCACATTCAGGCCCCTGCCTCACTCATCACTGTGGATCATCAGTGTACACATTTGGCTACACAACACTGGCTTCTTCCACCCCTGCACCAGCCTCGGCGCCCAACAGAGGCCACTCCACCTATATCCCTGGTCTGACTGTGATTTCAGGGCTTGGCTGTGCGCCCAGAGGAGATGGTCCTTAGGCAGAGATGTGAATGTGGCAAGTCTGGAAGCAATGTTTTGATCCTGCCTGTCTCCCTCCACCCCTCAGCAGGAAGGTCCAGGATGGGTGGCCAGGAGATCTACCTGCAACCCTGAGTGAGGACACCCCTGCCACTGGAAGCCCCAGACAGCCTGAAGCTGAGAGCTCCAGGACTTGTCCACCAGAGGCAAAGTTTCATCGCTTTTGGGAACTCAAGGCTGGCTCACAGGAGGCCTTAGAAGACACTGACCTCAATTTCACAAACCCATGTGATCCTCTCACTGTTAGCTGCCAGGGCCACTAGGCCAGCTTGAAGGTTCACCAAGTGATGCCAAGCCCAACAGGCAGGACCCCAGCCAACACTCCCCCTGGGACATTAAGACAGGGGGAGCCCAGCCTAAGCAGCTTCAGTTTGGGAGAGCAGTGTCTTCTCTTTCCCTCTGAGATGAGGTAAACAGAAAGGCAAGCAGGGTAACATGCAAATCACCCAGAAATCCTGAATAGGCCAATAGCAGCCAGGCCTGCAACAATGACACTGGAGTGGGTGCACAGGACCAGCCCAAGAGCCAGGCTGAGCAGGGAAGGAGGTAAGCAGACCGCAGCGAGGCCAGTTTCCTAGTTCACATGCCTATTTCCTGCCCAAGAATGGACAGGCCCCCACAGACTGGAGTCCATCAACCCCATTTGTGTGGTCTGCCCACAAAGCAGTTATTCATTCCCAACATTGTCTTTTTTTTTTTTTTTTTTAAAGACAAGGTTTTACTCTGTAATCTACTCATTGTCTTTCTGTTTTGTTTTTTGGGGTACTGGGAATCAAATTCACAACCTTGGGTTTGCCAGGCAGGTGCTATGCCATTGAGCTATATCCCCGGCTCCTTGGTCTGTAATTTAGGCTGGCCTTCAACTAACAGCAATCCTCCTGTCTCAGCTTCCTAAGTACTGCGATTACAGGTATATATCCTCAGCATTTTGGAACATAGCAAGATGCCTAAAGCCTCCCCTCAATCATGTTCTCCAAGCACTGAGTTTTTCAATAATAATCCTCCCTGGTGTTCTAGGCCCAGGCCCAGACAGGAGGGTGTATGCCCCGCAGGCCAAACCCCCTAGAAGCATCCCTGGAAAGTACAAGCTCAGCAGCTTAGCACCAGTTGTCCCCAGGAGTGCCCAGGCCCCCCAGAGTAGGAATAGAAACTTCTACCCCATCCCCATTCTGCCGAGGCTCTGGGGTAGGAAGGAGTCAGTGAGGTTAACCATTTTCTAACCATTCTCTGTACCTTGGAAGTCTACCTCTTCTGTCTTATAGTTCCCTGTGCTGGTATGTATAGGGAACAGCCTTCCCCAGGGTTGGCACCCTTGTCCCTAAGTGGGAAAGGCTATGTGGCTGAAAAAAAGCTTTCCCCACAGCTCCCCCGTTCCTCCTTTCCAAGTGTAACTGACACCACCTGCCTGTCTTCTGGGGTAAGTGCCCCCAAAGACAAGGAGATAGAATCTTTTAGAGAGCAAAGGTCCTAAGAAAACAAAACAAAACAAAACGAGTTGTCCACCTTGGGTGTCACAGGTAAGTGTGATCCAAGGGTACTCGGTCCTCCAGAGCAAGGCAGGGTAGGTTATAGGAAAAGGCAATCTCTCTCCCTAGCCTACTCTACCATCCCTCTCTACTTGGCGACAATGCAGTGCAGCCCCTTACCCTACTTCATCTGAGTCTGGGGCCAAGATGCAGGGGTCTTCGTGTACCCACATCCATAACCCAGGCATTCCTGAGCCCTGCTACCTGTCCAATGTGGAGTGGAAGAGATTATCTTCACCATAAGCATGGAATGTCTCAGCCTCTTTTTTGAGAATTCTGAGCTACTTCCTCCTCTGAGTAGCTCAGAAGAGCAAGAATTGGGTAGGCCCCAGAGCATAAGGTCTTCTGGGGTATCACTGTTGGAGGAAATGTGGGACACAGTCTCTTCCCTTTTTCTTTTAGGACATACCTCAAGAAGGTCTGAGTTAAACTTGACCAGGGTCCCTACCCACATAGGCCCTGTGGCTGGCAGCCAGAGGAGTAGTCAGCTCAGATGGCTCTGCTAGAGTCAGGGATGGAGGGAGTCTGCAGTTGCAAGTACCAGCTAGGACCAACTAGCTCCATGCAGGTGGAGTGTGCGGAGACATCCTCTGAAGGATATACACTAGGTCTTTAACAGGGCAGGATCACCCTAGATGCCTCACTAGTCCTAAGTCCACCCTGGGAAGAGCTTGGGAGAACTCAGCCCTGCCTGGGTGCTCAATAGGCTAGACTATAGCCAGAGCTCTAAGCACGGCTCTTGGTATTATGGAGCCAGCCCTAGGGAGCTGCAAATGACCCAGCTGCTAGCTCAGCCCCATGTTGACACCTTGGCTCAAGCCCAGGCCTTGCAGCCAAGTCCTATAGAAACAGGACCGGTTACCATAGCAAAGCCACATGTACTTCTGGCTGTTTCTCTGATGTCCTCTTAACACATCTTGTTTTTGCAGAACCGGGGATTGAACTTGGGACCTTGTGCATACCAGTCTGGAGTAACCCTGGCCTCTGCTTCCCTTGGTCCTAAAGTCCCCCTTACAAGCTCAGCAGATCCTGGGCAGAGGACTGGTCAGCCTTGCCCACTTCCAGCACCCTAGCCCAGCCACTGCTCTTTCCTCAACTCTCCCCTGCTTTCTACACCCATAGCCAGTTCTAGAGAAGCTCCTAACTTGCTCCCCCTTCCTAAGCTTCTGTTTGTTTTGTTTTGAGACACGGTCTCACTATGTAACTTAGGCTGGACTTGAACTCACTATGTAGCCTAGGGTGGCCTCCAATTCATGGTGATCCTCCTGCCTCAGGTCTCCCAAATACTGGGATTACAGGCGTGTGCCATAAGGCTTGGCTAGGCTTCCTGCTGGCACTTCACGCCCAGCCTGCCTGCCTAGACTGAGACTCTCCGGCATCCATGGCTCCCCCTACTGGACAGAAGGAGTCTCTCACACTCAACTCCACCACCCAGCAGCAATGCGTTTCACTGCCCTTGGTGCTCGCCTCATGTCTCTGTCCTTCCTTTTCCAGATCTCATATGTATCTATGCTGCAGGGATCAGACCTAGTCTACAGGAAGTCAAGAAGGCTTCCCAGAGCGAGGACAGGCCAGGTCTAAAGTGGGCAGACAGCACATTCTGAGGCATAGGAGAAGAGGGCATTTGTCTTCCTGTTCCAACACCCAGCCAGAGGGGGCAGAACTAGGAAGCATGCGGTTGGTTACCTCAGATAAATCAAGGTAGTCTCAAACTCCTGGGAACAGATTCTGGACTTTCACCTGAGAGCTAAATACCCAGCCCAGTCCAAACCGAGCCTTTTCTTTCAGGACCTCTCAGGCAGCTTTCTCACTGTTTCCTGCATGACTTCAATTTTTCTTCTTGCTGCCCCAAAATAAGCTGGGAATGTTGTGGGGCAGTTCAGGGAATGCACAGGGCCCTATGCTCCCCCACCCCCAATATGTACTATTACTGCCTCCTGGCACTCAGAGTCCCTTAACCCTCAGTCCAGGGTTTTGCAAGGCTGCCCCCTCCACTTTGGCACTCTCTGCTGGGATTGGCTCATTCCCACTCCCCAGCTTCCAGACCACATTCTCATCCTAGATGAGGCTTCCTAGTGGCTGTTCTTCATCTACCCCTACCTGGCAGCACATTTTTCCAGGGAACAGCCACACTTCTAGGCTCAGGGACTGACATTCTGGGGACACAGGAAGCATTTGTCAAGGGATAAAGGCTTGGTGGGTCCTTCTCCAAGGGTCTTTTCTGAATGAGCCCTCCAGAGAACTGGTAAAATATAAGGTATTCACCTACTAGTAAGACCAGGTGTGAGAACCATGATTCAGAGCAGCCACCAGCTCTAGGCACACGCTGGCACTTTACACACACACTACTGTGGATCCCATGAAGTGTCTGTCATAGACACAGTGTAACAGAATGGTTAAGGCTATGGTCCCTAGACTCAGACAGACCTGGATTCAAACCTTACCTCTTCCTCTTAAACAGATGTGTGGCTGGTTGAGTTGCTTGGCCTCAACTTTCTTGGATTTCTCTCTACCATAAAACAAAGTAGAGATGGACACAAATCCAGAAGGAGCGGTGAGAAGTGATAAATATGATAAATAGCGACAGTTTTTCTAACAGCAGCTTGTCACTAAGAGCTCAAAGTGGAACTGGGCATGGTGATCTACATCTGTAATCCCAGCATTCTGGAGAGTGAAGCAGGAAGATTGCCACCATCCCAAGCTACCCTGAGCTATACAGTGAGTACATGGATAGCCTGACTTATAGACGTGTCTCAAAAACAAAGAAAGAAAAAAGCTCAAAAGGGTGGCTGAGAGAAGCTGAGAGGCTGGCCCATGCACCTGATCAACAGGAAGTTACATCAAAGCTGACTCAAACTCTATTTTTATTTTTTTATTTTTTATTTTTATTTTTTTATTTTTTTTGGTGGTACCGGGGATTGAACTCAGGCCTTTGCGCTTGCCAGGGAAGCACTTATTCCACTGAGCCATCTCCCCAGACCTCAAACTCTATTCTTTCTGGTTTCTTCACCACTATCAGGCAAGCCTAGAAGCCCGGCCCACTGTGCCCTTGAGCCAACCCTTTGTCAATCCAAGGCAGGAAGTGGCTGAATCATAGAATTGGGGCTCTCTGTATGTCCAAACCACCTTAGTCCCTTTAGCTGCACCTTCTTCCCATTTCTCACACCTGGCATCTCTTTGTCCAATTGCAGACCAAGGTTTACAACACTTGGTGCTAGAAACTGACGATGTGGTAAGCTCAACGTGAGTTCATCCTGGAGGAGCTGAGGGCCAAGGGAGGAGACAGAGAGGGGTCCCCACTAATCTTCATTCCATCTGTCAGAAGTACTTTTCCATGGGTACTTTAAACCCTGACCTTTTCATTTCATGAAGCCACTTCAAGGAAACCTTTCACGTTGGATTGTCACTCCTGGCCACAGCTTCGTGGCCTGTCACCTCAGCCAGGCTGCACACAGCCCAGCTTCCCTTCAGAATGAAGTGCTGGGTTCCTGCAGTGACTTCAGTGAGATGCCACAGAGAACCGTAAATGCCCAGAGAGGTAAATGTAGAGATTTATAACAGATAGGCTATGCTTGTCACATGTGAAAGAGTTCTGGGAAGGAGAGGCCCAAAGAAAGAATGAGGAAGAAAGAACCATAGGCTTGTTGAAAGTCAGGGGTTAGCAGCCCAGAAGAGAGAAGGCCTATGTGTACATAGAGAAGGGGCAGTGGGTGAGACAGGGCAGCAGTCAGAGAAGGCAGATGGAGCTCTTATTTTGTATTTTGTGTTGTAGGTGGGGTTTTTTGTTTGCTTACTTTTTTGTGACAGTCTTGCTATCTAGTGCAGGCTGGCCTTGAACTCATTAATGTAACCCAGACTGTCTTCAAATTCAAGGTAACCCTCCTGCCTAAGCCTCCTGAGTGCTGGGTCTGGAGCCATGTGGCACCATACCCAATTCAGATGGAGCTCCTGAGCAAATGAGATAGCAAAGTAGGGTGCAACTCCAGAGCCCTGGATTCTAGCCTCAGCTGACCACCTGGATCTACTCAGGACAGCCTCTAGTGTTGAAGTCTCACACGCATCCACTACACACAACCAGAAGGCTCCAGACTCTGACCTGATCCATCTCCTGTGCATCAAGTCCTCCACAGCCTGTTTCAAGCACAGTACAATCCCTGGCCTATGCCTTGCGGAGTCCTCAACCTCGCTTCTCCACCAGTACTCGTTGGAGTGCGCCAATCCCTCTCCATTGGCTCCAGCCTGGAATCTCTTCTGGCAATGTCCCAAGACTGGTTGCTTCTCTGTCAGGTCTTTGCCCAACTCTAGGGCTCTCCACCAAGACAGAGGCCCCCGGTACTCACTTTCCCAGCAAGCTGTTTCTTTTATAATACATATCTTAACCCCTCATGATTTTGTCTCTATCGTCACTCTCTTCCTTCTCTCTCTAGACCAGGGATTGTGGGGAGATATTGGGCAATGTCTGCTGACACTGTTGTCACAACGGGAGGGGGAGGTTACTGGCTTCCGGTGAGTAGAAGCCAGGGAGGATGCTCAACATTCTACAACGCACAGGACAGCCCCTCGCTTCAAATAACAATCCAGCCCGAATTGTCAACTCGGGTTTGGGGGACCCTGGACTAGACGCGATTATAAAACTGGACTAGCGTTCTCTATAGTCTCCCTGGCGCTTAGAACAGTGTCTGGCACCGAAGCGGCGCTCAATAAAAGCAGGAAGAAAGAGAATGAAGCAAAGGAGCGACTGGCGGACAAACTGAGAAATACGGACGTCGGGATCCGGCCCCCTCTAGAGCCGGCACCCCCAAGCCTGGCTCGAGAAGCGCCTGGCTCCACCCCCCGCACGGCCCAGAGGCCCAAGCTGCCGATTCGGAGCACCGCGCAGACACTCACCCGCCTGCTGCCCGGGAGCGGCAGCATCACCCGCTGGATTCATCGTGCTCCCTCTGCTGCTGGCTGAGAACGGGAGGAGACGCGCGAGCCGGAAGCGTTCAGGCGCTGAGCCCGTCGGGACTTGTAGTTAGCTGGCTCAAGTGACCCAGGCAGCTGCCTCACGCACGGCGCTTCAGAAACTACGATTCGTGGGGACCCAGGAGCACCGGGGAGGGTTGGAAGCTTGAGAATCACTCTATATTGCAGATCGGAGTCTGATTGGCTCTGCACACCGTCATTGACAGTTACGCTCAATGATCTCCCCGTAAAGGAGTAGTACCGGGTCTTCGCTGGGTAGACAGCGGAGCGTATCAGTGGTGAGGAAAGGCGGCACTTCCGCCAGATCTGTCCAATCATCGAAGTAAAGCAGTTTCTATAAAAGCTTGAGACCCCGCTGGACTCCTCCTTTTTGGGTAGAGCACGAGGTTTGAGTACTTCTATGGGTTGTGGGTTGGGGTTGGGGGGGTAGCAGTTCGCCTATTGGGATCTTGGGCATCTTCCGAACCCCGCAAGCCTGTGTAGTCCTGAATCCTGCCTCGGCCTGTCTCCACCTTAGCCATTGTCGGTTAATCATAATCTTCTTGAACATCCAGCAGGTAAGACTGGGCCCAGCCTCGCTTCCCGAATGCTGCTCCAAGCCTGTGATGAATTGCTTTAAATTCTGACACCTCGTATGAGAACTGCATGTGCAGTCTGATTATATTTCGAGACTGAGGCTTGAGTGAGCTTTCTTGACAGGAGGGTTTGGGATGGGCCAAAATGAAAGGAACGGGCATCTCTACATTTCCAACTCTGGTTGACTTTCAGGGTCGTGGTGAGCTGGCTACAGATGTCGAACTTAACCGAAATCCAGAGGCCCAGTGAGCAGAAGGGCCTGGTAAGGTGGGCTTTTTAGTAATAAAGCAAAACTAGTGAGTTTTTAGTCTCTAGCGTCATTATTTTCTTAGCCTGTTAGCGCTCTATGGAGGACAAGCTCATTCCCCAGGCAGATGGAAGGGAGATAGGCATTAAAATGAAGTTTATTACTTGTGACTTGACTTTCCTTGGGGCCTGCTTTATCTATTCTCCCCTGTAAGGCCCCCAAAGATTGTTTTATTATGCCTGTGTACCAGGGATCTAATCACCAAGGCTCACATGCAGCCCTCTAAAGAGCATTGAGCTTTGATGCACCCTTGGTTATAAAGGAACTTCACCAGTCTTGTGAGTTTTCGGGCTCACCAAGGCCTCTGAGTTCTGGAATCTGGTCTAGAAGTTCCTTGCAACAGATGAGACAGAAACTCCAGGAAGCACACCTTTATTCACTAGTATTGAAAACGTGGAATCATGGCTGGATGTGATGATACACACCTGTAATCCCAGCATTTAGGAGGCAGAGGCAGGAGGATTGTCATGAGTTTGAGGCCAGCCTGGACTGCATAGTAACACCGTAAAAAAAAAAAAAAAGTCAAACAATTTGCAATCAAAAAACTGGTTTAATCACTCTACTAGTACAAGATGAAGAGAGTTGGTAACATCAGGTCTCAGCTATGGCTGGGCCTAAACAAGGCTTGGCACATGGGTACACTGGCCAGTTTGGGCTGGTGTTTGGAACACACAGAAGCGCATACACGTGTTAGCCTGTGGCCTGGTCCTTTAGGAATGTCCAGGAGGGGGCAGCAGAGCGCCATGGTGTGGTCTGTACACGTGTAAGGACCTTTGCTTTTTTGGAATGAAGGTTTGAGATTGCTGCTTGGACAGAGAGGGGATGAGGCTTGACCCAGGAATCCCTGGAAGTGCTGGCTGTGGAGTTCCCGTCCAGTCTTTATCTGGCTGGGTCCGTTCAGAGTAAAATTAATCCTTGTTCAGAACTGACAGCAGAAGGGCCCTCGACCTTCCTGTTTAACATAGTCGTGCAGCAGGAAGTGGGGTTCATTGGGTGCTTTCATAATACGCTGTTTCAACTCCCTGTGGATAGAAAGTATTGATGAAACAGGATGGTATCCAGAACCACCAGAAAGGGTTCAGACCCGAGGTCATAGGGGTATTTTTGTTCAGTCTGTGAACGTACTTTGCTATGGCAGTGAAGGCCAAGTCAACGTTGACCCCTGTCTTGGCACTGGTTTCCATGTAGGGCAGTCCATACTCCTGCAAACAGCTGTTACCAGCTGGGTGGTGGCATGGTGGGGACAGCCCAGGCTGTACAATCTCAGGAACACCATCCTTGCCACCACCCTGCAATGACTCACCTTGGCCAGCTTCTCTCCATCCTCCCTCTTCACAGCTCGCTCCTGGGTGGAGTCCACCTGCCCCAGGCACAGGGTTTTGGTGATGGTTGTCCCATGGCTTGCCTACCACCCCCCTCACCTGCCTTGCTTTTCAGAACAGGGTAGAGAGAGCAGAATGGCCTGCACACCTTGTTCCCAAGCAGCATGAGTACCACGTCGTCCTGGGCATATTCCTGGATCTCAGTCAGCCAGGCCTGTGTGGGGAGAGCTAGGACCAGGCGGAAGCTGGTACTCCCTGCATGTTTTGCCCTCTCAGAACCTTGGCCCCCTGTAGGTCACCCCTGACAGAATGTCCCACAGCCCCATATTCATGCTCAACTAGGGCCATCTCAAGCCCAGAGGAGCCCACCAGTCCCTTTCCTATCAACAGTCCTCACAACTCATGGGAAGCCTGGGGCCATTATTGCCTATTGCCCCATTAGGAAAGAGACCACTGACCTGGATGTTGTCAAAGGAGGTCTTGTTGGTAACATCGTAGAGGAGCAGCAGTGCTGAGGGTAGAGTGCAGTGAGCACACCCCTGGGACGCAGTGATTCCTGGTTACCCACACCCTCTTGCTCAAATCAAAATGTCCCAGGGGAGCTGGTCCCGTCTTGGGCTCACCATGTGCATCCCGATAGTAGGCATGGGTGACACTGCGGAACCGCTCCTGTCCAGCTGTGTCCCAGATCTGTGGCAACAGACAATGGTCATGCTTTCCAGACCACCTGGTATTTGTTACCCCCAACTTGTTCTTCCCTAATCACCTTACCTGAAGTTTCACCTTCATTCCATCCACATCCAGAACTTTGTTCTGAAACAGAACCAACCAACTCCAGTGAGTGCCCATAACCCTTTCCCTGCAGACTTATTTTCCTTTTGTGCTGGGACTACAGGTGTACACCATTACACCCATTCTGGGCCTGGTTTTTCTTACTGTTCAGTTCCACTGGCCTGAAAGGCTCCCTGTCATCACTTCACTGTATCCCAAGCCAATTTGTGGTACCAGGGATTGAACTCAGGACCCTGTGCTTGCCAGGCAAGCACTTATTATACTGAGCCATCTCCCCGGCCCTCAAGCCAAATATTCCCCATTCTCCTTGGCTTTTACCTCAGCCCTGGCTGCCACCTTTACCATGGACATCCAGGTACTTATTTTTATTTATTTTTTTAATGTGTTTGGTACAGGGTCTCACTACACAGCTTGGACGCATAGTGATCCTCCTTTCAGCCTCCCGAGCACTAGGATTACAGGCATGTGCCACCATGCCTGGCTTCAATGGCTGGCTCAGCATACCTAGGGGTAGGGGTGGCAATGGCATGTGGTCCCAGAGTCTGCTTAAACAAGCTCTTAGTCTGCTGAGCTATCTCACCTGCCCTTACACCCCTAGCTTAATGAGCTGCTGTGTGCACTGAGAACTGTCCTACCCTCCCACCTCCTGTAAAAATTTTCCCACTGCAACATGGGCTCCCCAAGGGGTGGTGTGGGCCTGTCTGGCCCAATGTTGAAACCTAGGAGGCCAGAACTGCCTGATACACAATAGGTACTTGTATTTGTGGCTGATTGTACTCCCCAGATGGACTCTCCTTGTTTAGTACTAGACACAAGGCCCAGAATCTGCTCTCCTCAGGTGGGGACGGCAGCCTGGGCAGCTGGAATAATCACCACTTCCCAAGCTACTGCTGTAAAGGTGCTTTTGGGTTTCCAGGGAACCAGACTCAACCATCTGCCGGGCTGGGGAGAATACCTTGTCTTCCCTAGCACCCTGAATTGGTGCACAAACATTCATCAACTTGGCCTCATCACCTGCCCCGGGGCCAACAGCAAGAGACGCCTAGACAGGTTATAGGTCATGTGTCTCCAAGAGTGTTTTGGCACCTCAGCCCTTCATTTTAGTCTGGGTAGAGAACAACTCCCCAAACTACAAGCAGCCCTCCTTTACTGTCCCCAGAATGGGCCTCTTTCCCAGCCTCCTGCTAACTGGGTCTAATTAAAGGGTGAGAAAAATGCAAATTTAGGATTTGCCAAGAACACACCATCACCTCAGTACACGGGTTTTAGACTGATGGCCAGAGGTAGGGGTTCTGATGCTAGAGCCTCAGGAGCCGCTGCTTGGGATACTAGGAGTCTCTGCACCCAAAGGTAGGGACCCCTCCTCCAAACAAGGCCTAGAAACTTTCCTGGCAGCATCACAGCCTCCAGACTTGTAGAACCTGGGCAGGTTCCTGGCTCTCAGTCTTGGGCCGTCGCTGCAGTAGGACAGTGACTGGCTTGAGTGAATATGGGCCTTGAATTTCCTCTGACTGGGAGTACAGTCCCAGGATAACTCCAGCTTCTGGCGCAGAATTCTCTGCTTCAGGTGGGTCCAAAGACCACCTCAGATATTGGGAAATCTCAGGACCCTTGGGTGTTGGGAGTCAGCTTGGTGGCTGGGTGTCCCATGTCTGGGAAGCAGCCACCCCAGTAGGAGCTGTACCTCCAGAGAACTGGGGCCACCACAGGGAAGATGGAGGATCAGCTACCCAAAGATACTGGGAGGACTCAGCTCATGAGGGGGAACTGATCAGAGCTGCACTCTCACCCGGAAGTCGATGCCCACAGTGGAGATGAAGGTCCCTGCCAGGAAAGCACCGTCCTTGAAACGTACGAGCAAACAGGTTTTTCCGACACCTGAGTCTCCCACCAACATGACCTAGGGCAGACAGGTGGGTCAGAAGTAGGCCCGGGAAAAGGGAAGAGGATGCTAGCCCACCTGGAGGGGTCTTTTGATCTGCCCTGCATTGCCCAAGCCAAAAAGGAGCTGTAGGTGAGGAGTAGGCCTGCAGGTTCAGATGGCTTGAGGAGACAACAGTTCTACCTCTGGTGGTCTTGGTCCCTTCTCTCCCAGTAGGGCCCTTTTCATTCAGTGGGAGTTAGGGCTGCTGCCCTCCCATTAAGAGTCAGTCTTGACCTGGGAGGGAATTGGGATCTGGTGAACAGAGGCAGTGAAATCTGGGGCCTCCTAAGAGACCTCCAGGGATTACATTCCCAAGGGCTTCTTCACCTCCCCCCACCAAAGGTACAAATCCCGGCAGCTTCATTAGGAGGAATTTCCCAGCCTAGAATCAGATCTTCACCTGAGGTGGACCTGGTCAAGTAGGTCTGTGGACAGAAGAGACAGACAAGTCCTCTCCCTCCCCCATCCAGCCTGCTGCTAAATCTTCTAAAATCTAAACATGATTCTACCTACCACAGCCAAATTCACATAGTTTCTGCCTTGGTCTGGGGGAGGCCTCACTCTCCCCATCCAACTGGCAAACCTCTTCCCAGCCTCAGAAAAAGAGGAGACCCACAGCCCCTGGGTGTGAGCGAAGGCAGCATATGGGAAATGATGAAACCAGAGCTCAGGTGAAGGGTGATGGTCAGTGGGAGGGGTGCGTGCCAGGTGCTGATGTCCCAGGACCCCTTGTGCAGCTCTCACTGAGGAAGGAGGAGGGGAGGCCCAGCCAGCTGTTGAGTACTCCAAACATAGCCTGACAGCTGTGTGTGCGCTCAGTGCACATTGCAGCTGTGTCAGCTGTCGGGTGTCCTCGGCCGGGTCCGCGGTGCCCTGCATCCCTTCTCAGGCCCCCCTCCCCTTTTGGCTCAGACCCCAACAGATCAGCAACACCTGCTGCACGCGCCTGGGGGCAAAGTGCCTGGCTCACCTTGAAGGCGATGTCGTAGAAGTCACCACCCCCGCCAAAGGACAACCGCCCAGGTTGCTGGGGCCCGTTGGGCGGCGCCTCGGGGCTAGGGAGCGCAGTCCCGGGGCGCCCAGGCCGGGCCCCGTTGGCTGAAGGTAGCGCGGAGGCAGCGGACACACTGCCCGCCTTGCTCTTGAAGGTCTTCTTTCTGGACATGGCAGACAGGTGCTTTGTGCGCTTGTTCTGCGCCCGCCACGCCGCGGGTCGCTCTGCTCCCCGTGCCCTCTGAGCCTAAGCCGGACCTGAACCCGAAAGGTGGCCGAGGCGGCATCCCGGGCACCCCGCACCCGCCCCACCACAGCCATCCCACAGGCAGCCTAGCTGCCCAGGCCCCGCCTCCCGCCTCCCCCTCCGCCAATGACCGTGTGGAAGAGGGGAGAGGCTATGCAAATGAGATTGCCCGGGTGTTGTCAGGAGGCTGAAAGGCTGGAGTCTGAGCCTGCTCCAAAACCCGAGCCGGGTGGGGCAGTCAGGCACAGAGACCCAACTCCAGTCGTAGCGCACGTCTGTAATCTAGCACTCAGGACACCATGGCAGGAGGATTGCTGCGAGTTTGAGGCCAGCCTGGGCTACAAAGTGAGTTCATGGTCAGCCTGAGAGTGAGACAGAGACAGAGATAGAGACAGAGACAGTCCTCCTCAGCTACACCACCCCATCCCTTCCTCCCCAGCCCAGTGATATCCTCACTGGATGAGTCATCAGACCCAGGACAAAGGAAGTCTCCTGAGATGAAGGTGCTGGGGATAGAACCTGCACAGGTGGGCACCTGGGATTCCGTCTCTTCTCAGCCAGGGAAACCTGCCATCTTCCCTACTGCTCCTCCCTGTTCTATCTTCCCTGGGGCAGGAGGCTCTAGGGAGAGCCAACTTTGACGCTCAGCAAACAAAGCTGGCTGTCAGGGAATACTCCACTCAGAAGATAGCTGGTTATCTAGTGTCAGGACAAAGTAAAGATAGCAGAACTCCCTAGGCTTCTAGAAATCTAAAGATCTGAGCAAAAGGAAGTAGGGGAAGGCAGCAAGTGCCAGAGCCTCAGAAGGTCCCCTCCAAAGGTGCTGTGCCCTTGAGTTTGAAAGGCCTTGCCCTCAGGTATGACCAGTGCCTTGACCTTCCCATTCCAGATTCTGGACTCAGGGAGGCTGGTGCTGATTTTCTTAATCCTAAATTGGACCCCACAACACCCATCTCCAAGTCCTGACAGTGCCCTACCTGGGCTGCTTGGTGCTTTGTCCCCGGACCTCCAGCCAACATTTTCTGTATCTCAAGAATGAAACGGTGCCCCTAGGATGGGGTGCTTCTGGATGCTCCTCTGGGAACTGTAGGGATGTCTTGACTGTATCCTAAGACATGAAAGCTGTTACCAGGATCCCAGGTTCCTCAGAAATTTAACCCTCCCAGTTATCAGTATCCAGAACACCAATAATTAGCTATCTCTTGGGGCTCCGAGGCCTTGAAAGATCCAAATGGAGGGATGCTGTCCAGCACCAACTCTTCAAGAGTGCTTAGCATGGCCTGCTCCTTAGAGGTCTGGAAAGCTACTCAGCGCTGAGTGCTATCTATAATGTACCAGGCACATGACATCTTTAAGACTATCCTGTTAGTGGATATGGTAGTGAATAGCTGTAATCCAAGCTCTTTGGAGGCTGAAGCAGGAGGATTACTGAGTTTGAGGCTGAGCTGGGCTCCATAGTGAGTTCAAGATTACCCTGAATTAACTTGCTTATTGAGATTCAGAGCAGCTGCCAGGGATATAGCAATGACCAAGACAAGCTGCTTCCTGTGAAAAAATCCAGAGAGTATAAACTGTCCCATAGAAAGGATGGTCCTGATTCATCCCTCAGGTACCTATCAGAGCTCAGGGTAGGTGAAAACCCAGAGAAACCCTGAAGTCCCCTGAGCTGCCTTCTTTTACTATCTTTCTCCTCTGGCCCTCCACCTCCTCAGTCTCCAGATGTGTATGTGTTGGCCTGGGGCGTGAGTATTGGGCTCCCACTGTTGTAGCTCTGGAGATTAGGTATAAGACCACTGCTGGAGACCACAATAAACACTGCCTACTGGGGCTAGGGAGATGGCTCAGTAGAATAAGCACTTGCCTGGCAGGCGCAAGGGCCTCAGTTTTTCAATCCCCAGTTCTGGAAAAAAAAAAAAAAACCCAAAAAACAATGCCTACTGGCCCCCAGGTTTCTACAAACCTGGCTGTGAGGGAGCAGTCTACTCAGAAGATAGCTAGCTATTTAGTGTCAGGACAAGGCTGAGATAGCAGAATTCCCTAGGCTTCTAAAAACCTAAAAAGGGCCAGGGAGATGGCTCAGTGGAATAAGTGCTTCCCTGGCAAGCACAAGGGCCTGAGTTCAATCCCTGGTTCCGCCAAAAAATAAAAAATAAA